TTCAACAATATATCATATTTAAAACTTACCTTATAAAATCAGATGGAATTTACGATAGATAAAAATCAAGTCAACTTGATTCGTTGACATCCAAATTAAAAATAAATCTCACAAGGCGAATAAAAAAAGAAAAAGACGACAAATGACAGTTGAGTAGAGGTGAATGTGCCAAAATAACGAATAACGGTTCGAACCGTTACAAGCTTCAACTCTTAGCATTAGTAAAGAATAAAACACACCTGAAACAATAAAAATATAACAATAATTTGCGCCTGCCCTCATGCATATTATTGCATAATGCATTGTGCATGTATGTCTTTGAATTTAGTGAAAGGTCTTATGATTAAAGATCCAAACACCCCACGCACATTCTTTGGTGAAAAGAGGAGCATTTTTGTCATCACCATCACTCACACTGCAATTAGCGTCATCATCTCCTAAACCAATGTTATTTCTTTTGAGGTTTGCTTAAAACAAAGCAGAAAATATGTAGAACAAAATTTAAAAAATAAATCCAATTTTCTGTCAACGTTTATTCTTGAAAACCGTAGATTTTAGCAAAACCTGTTTTATATACCTTTTCATGTTTTGTGTTCAAGGGAACAAAAACAACTCAAAAGACGGAATCATTGCAATTCAGTAATAAATGTTTATTTATATTTTTAATAAAGAAAAACAAATATATATATCTGATTTAAAAACAAAATGATACTCCTAAATTAAAAAACGATCTGATACGATAGTTTAATTAATTGTCTATTTATAAAAACAAGACTTTCCTGTCCTATCTAAAGATATATGCTTTCTTATCTTTTTGAACTTTTCCTCAAATTTCTCGAATACAGTCCATTTTAGAGAAATCATATGTAGGACAAAAATTATAGAGCATGACAAATTACTTTTTCTTAAAAATTGGAATTTTGTACCTTTTGTCAAATTTCTTGAATACGGGCCATTTTAGGGAAATCATGTGTAGAACAAAAATTATAGAGAATGATATTACAAGCAACTTTTATTTGAAGAATTTATTTTCTCCAAGCGTAAATAACAGATGTATTCCTAAAGTATAAAAATTACCCCCTATAATGTACCCCACCCCCCTCCCTCCAGATGCTTAAAGTATAGTTTAAAATTTAGTGTTTTTGTCTATATTTGTTCATGAGTTATCGAGTATACAATACAGACAGATACACACATACAGATATCATCGCGAAAATGGTCAAAACAGATTCCAGGTGACCTCAAAACGTCTGAAACTTGAGGTCGAAAAAATCATGATTCCTCTACTTTTCTTCTGTATACAGACAGGAAAGTAATAATAGTATTATAGTCACCTATTTATTGAGAATTAGATTAAATGAGTAAATCCTCCAAAACAAAGTTTTAAGTACCCAATATGGATATATAAATTGCTATTTACATAATTAACTCAATTTGATGAATAGAAATAATTTAATCAATTTTATCTATGATTAATTATTAACAAGTTAGTTAATATCTTTGCTTTGTAAGGTAATTAAATTATATTCCTTAACGGAAGAATTCACTGAATTTCACTACCTATCTACAAGGATAAGGCATTAATGTTTGAAGAAATGAAATGGAAATGAAATAATATACTATGCTTATATACAGATAAATTTACGAATATCCATTTCCAAAGTCCAAAGGAATAAAACAACAATTTTAAAATGATACACAATCAATACTAAATTGAATGAGGTAAAGAATAACGTTTTACCAGAAAACACGTTCAGACTTGTGAAAATAATTAAAACTCCAAGTATAAATAAGTTCCACCTCCATTGCAATTGCCTTGTTGTCAAATTGAGGTACCTTTTTCTCCGGACTGGGACGGTTTCTTTTTGGTCGTATGGAATTCAGTACGAATACGCTAGTTCAGTGATGATGTAATTATGGTTCCACTGACAATTAAAGTGACAGTAAATTTTTTTAGTTCGTTTTATTTACCTAAATTATATCGTTTTTTCATTTTTATAAATATATTCCTAAAGTAAGTAGATAACCTGCATCAAATATACAATCGTTTAGTTACCAATTACATACCTATTTTTTATGATATGTAAACAATATTTAGAAATAAACTAAAAACAGTAAAAACGTATCTATAAGTCAAATTTATTGATGTTTTTGTTAAAAGTTTGGTTAGAATTAAATGTCAGTGGAACCAAAATGACATCACATCGAACTAACGTATTGGGAACTGAGGTATTTAATCATTCTTTTGTTTTTAGGTCCGGGACTTATTATTTCACAAATTTTCTTTTCCACACTGGATCGAACATACTCGTATTTTATCTTTATCTTATTTTTATCCAATAATATTTTTTTGGGAATTACAGTTTCACACATAAAATGCGCATCATATGGGATTTTTTTTTCTCTAAAAATACTGTAGTAAAATTTTTACGGTAATATAAAATGATAAATGACATGCAAATGTCCAATCTCGTGACTTTTTGTATATGTCAAAAATGAACTGTTTTTCTAAAAATTGCAAAATTTCGAGAAATGCCTAAAAAAGTTACTTATTTTTTACTCATATACCAATTTAAAAGTTTTTCACGCAATTTTTTTTTGTTTTTTCGGAAAATGTATTTTTAGTTTACTGGAATTTTAGCAGACCTGTAAAAAATCTTTTTTTTAAGCGATGCCCTCCTTTTAAATGTATTTTTGTTTTTAAATGTTGCTTTAAAGGTTTGCGCAAATTCCAGTAACCCAGAACTGAATAGTAGAAAAAATTAAAAAAAAAAAAACTAAAGTTGCGGAAAAAACTTGAAACTTTGTATATGGGTAAAAAATTATAAAATACGCAATTTTTCTTAATGCATTTCCCAAAAAATTTGAAAAATAATGCCATTTTTTGAAATTTCAATTTTTATATTTACAAAAAGTCACGAGATTGACCATTTGCATTTATATCATTTCCAAAGAGCCCATTTCTTGATGGCACCCAGTCATCGCTTAATTTTGATGGTTTCCTATAAAAGAGTATTCCATTCAGCAAAAGCATACACAATTTTTAACTAGTGGTGGATTCGCGAATATTACTAAATATGGGAGGAATTTTGAACCATCAAAAGACGATTTCTTAAATTCAAATCATGAAGAAGCTGATACTGCTATCTTATTACACATATTGTCAGACAAAAATTTAGAGCATTCTCGCTGCGTTATTGATTGCAACGATACAGAAGTTCTAGTTTTATTAACTTATTTTAAGAAGTTTTTGACTAATGAGGTATGGTTCAGAATAGGGCGAGAAGACTCAAGACGATTTCTAGCAGTAGATGATTTAAATTTGGATGAAAACCTTCCAAAAAATTTGCCTCCTTTTTATTCTCTGACCGGTTGTACAACAACCAGCCAATTGTCTGGAATTCGGAAAAGAACCTGTTGGAAAACCTACCTTGAAACCCTTTTGGATGGATTTAGCACTGATCAGTACTCTGAAAACATATTCTCTAATCTTGAAAAATTTTTCATAAAACTGCCAATGTTACTTCCATTAACATTTTGAAGAGATTAATGATCTCTTCAAAAACCATCGCTAAATTGACACCGACTGAAGACTCCCTAAGATTACATTGTTTAAAATATTGTTACCAGCTACATATTTGGCTATGTTCTTTAAAGTCGCAGATGCAGCTTCCTAATGTATGGATGGAAAGTAGATCAAGATAAAAGTATGATACCCACTCTTAAGACTCTGCCCGACCTGCCACCGGACATAACAGAACTTACATCATGCAAATGCAAAGAAGTACTATACATCGATAATTTTTATAGATGTAGAATATTTTAACAATATTATTCTGTTCTAGACTGTGGAAGCAACATTTGCAATTGCACGAAAAAAATATTGGCTACATCGGTTCCTGCACCTATATGGCACAGAAAAACTGCAGAAATAGTTTGACGCTAATGTTTTGGAAAATGTTGATTCGTGTGGTCAATCTGATTCTCATTACTTTGCAAGTGTTGTACTTCTAATTATTATTCTTTTTTTGTATTAGGAATGTATTGTATTCTGCAAAGCAATAGCCTTACTGTTTATAATCTATACTTATACATACTGTGCTTATACCTTCAATAAATAGTTGATGTTTTATTATTTTTCTTCAAAAAAAATCATGATGAATACAACCTATAAAAAATTATTCTCCTTCATAGCGGATAAATTAATAATCCCTGTATAAAATAATATAAGAGAGTCGAATTGATTGCATACATTTCAGCAGTAAGAGAGACTCGGCGTTCAATGATTGCTTTCCTGCAAAAGCATGACATCACTAATTGTTTATTGCTATATTTTTGTTAACTGAAAAGCAAAAAAAGCACTCTTACCTTGTCAATATATAGGCAAAACCTTTATGAGGAATATTTTTCTTTTCATTTAGTCCTTCGTTTTTCGTCAAATGAAAGATATATTTCTAAAAGAAGATTTTTTAACCAAATTTGTGGACCGTTGAACCCGAGATATTTACGTTAAAATTTATTTTTTCGGCCATAAGGGCTAATGCACATGATTTTTTTTTAAATAATTATAAAAAATACTTTCTTCAAAGACCTAATTGTGCATTAGACCATAGAATAATAATTTTTTTCTCTATACGGTGGTATCAATATCTCGATTTTTTATGATAGTGCTCTCTTGCCCTGACTAATTTTGTATTATCTCCGGAATAAGGGTTAGCCTATCATGTACTTTCATCCCTGAAAAATTCACCTTGTGACACCGAAGTGGGAGGCAAAGTCAAAATAAGTTTTAATCTACACCATACTATTATGATGATGATACTTACCAGTAGTTTTTTTAACAATATTTTCAATTTAATTTTGTTTCCCATTTACAGGAATCTTTTTTGTATTATGTTTTTTCTTATTTTTTTTTATTTGCATAAAACTTGACTTTTATGATTTAATTCTGTTTGGTAGTTAAAAGTGGATAGAAAAAAACATCGGATTTAAGTTCATATGAATATTTTAATTCTTAAATTAAACGACATGTACACAAGACACTTCACATTTTCTACTCTGAATATTATGCTTTGGATGGTACCAGCACGCGAAATAAATTCATAAATAATAAATAAAACAATCGTATATCTACTGGTACCAAGCAAATTTAACAAAAAAGCATTTATACAGAAAACATTTCCGCTTTTTTAAAGGTATGTACAATCAAAATTTTGCTACTAAATTGCTTTAAAAATTGCAAAAATCACCAGTTTTACGTTTTTAGTGAGCTAAAATGTGAACCCTTAACAAAATTTTTCATCTGCAAAATAAAAACAATCTAAATACGAATGATACAAACTGTTTGTTTTTAAATATACATTAAGTTTTAATGACATTTATCAGTCAATTTTCACTATTAACTGTCAGATATCTCAGATAAATGACTTCTTGACGTATTGAGAGATAATAGGAAAAAGTGACTGATTTTGAACTTTTATGGTTTTACAAAAAAGAAAAAGCAATAAAATCTCAAAGCCATTCGGAAAACAACTACTCCTTTGGCTAATAACACAACAGGTATTTGATTATATCCAATGCCTGTCATGGTATTAGCAGAAAAAGTAGTTGTTTTCCAGAGGGAAACAGCCGCTCTTAATAGTTTGTTCATGGTTTTAAGATTTTATTATTTGTTTTCTTTGTTTTACATCTTGGTCACATTTGAGTTTGGAATTATTTGAAAAAGTATTAACAAAATTTTCTAAAGGAATAATGAACAATTTATTCTTTTTTTAGATTTCTAATATTCATATACAATAAGTAATATACAATTTACACAAAAAAAAAGAAAACAAATATATACAATGTTTACTGTTTACAAGGAATATATACAAATTTTTATACTTAAAGAGGAACAAACTATATATTTTCGTATGATTTCATTATGGATACAGTCTAAAAAATCACTATAAATGGCACTAAAAATCATAAAAAAAAATGAAATAAATTAAGAGCTTATTAGCAAAATTAAATCGACTTTAGGGTCAAAGTACGGACTCAAATTTTACTCATTTAACTTATTTATTATTTCGGTTTAATTCGGCAGAATAATTATATTAGTTTAATGAAAAATGTAATTTAGAATATTATATTCAAAATAAAAAGCATTTATTCGGATTATTGTTCATTTAATTTTAGTAAATGACAAGCGAAGCCGTAGAAAAAATATAGTCTACAGTGAAAATAATGTTGTAAGGCCGCAAGCAGAAATAATAAACCTCGTCTACGCCTCGGCGGAAAACTGTTCTATAATAATGTAGATGAAATAAACGGTGGTTCCAATTATGGAGGATTCTCCCCCACAATTTTTATTTTGCCCCCTCACTCCAAATTTTTGTCTGCTTTCAATTTGGCACGCCATTATTTTCCCCCTCAACTTAATCCCTCCTGAACTTACTCCCCTCAATTTTGATACCCCCCCATTAATTTGGTCCTCTCTACTTAAAGTTGCCCTCACTCCAATTTTGGAGAACGGCATCGATTCGTTGCCTCCATTTGAGTCAACATTTCTTTAAAATGTTCGATTTTTAGTGGAACCAGTTACATATATAATTTTTTCTTAAATTGTTTAATGTACTTAAAAAAAAATTGTAAGGAATAAAACCAAACTTTTTTAATATTTATCCAAATCAAATTGGAAGAAATGACGTAGTCCTTCGCCACAAATTATACCAAAATAGGAGATGTACGAGTAGTAATACAATTATATTTATGATATTTATTGGCATATTTTTACTACAAAAATAAATTTTTCTTAGTCTAAGTAAAATCAGAGCCCCATACTTGTCTATAAAGATTATAACTTTTAGTGCCCAAAAATAAAAACTAAAAATAGCAGCACCAATAAGAAATAAACTAAAAATTGCCTGAATTACTATTTTTTTATACAAAATACACGTATAATGTAATTTGTACTCGATAAGCTTGTAGAAAAAGCACTTTTTTACGTTAAAGTGACCATCTTTAACTCTCTCATGTTTTTAGGTCAAAATGGTTAAATCCATTGAAGCAAATAAAAAACTTATCAATCTATCGTATATTGAAAACTGCCAATTTTTAATTCATCTATTAGGAAACATCCTCCATGAGCTTTTTTTATATTGCAAAAACTTCCCATATACGTACAGAACGTTACAATTTAATAAGCCTGTTTCTTTTTTCCAAATTATCAGTCTCAATCTTTGAGCTTTAGTAAAAACTTTTTTGGAAATCTTTGTGATATATAGGGTGGTCCAATTTATACCATTAGGATTTCATCAGCTGATAGTTTATCGATAAATAAAATTAGTGTGTCCAATAAACTATGATCCAATTATGCTTTCTTTTTGATGTATAGGGTTCAAGTATGCAGAAATGTGCAAAATTTTGTTGTTAATTTTTATTTTTTCTTGAGAGCAAAGTAAGATATGAAAAAATGTAAGATAAAAAACTTTTTTTTTTAAATTATGCCATTCAAAAATCTACTGGGCGATATTTTTTGTGCCGAGAACTATTCGAAGTGCCCCGTGACGACGTCCCTGGAATTGCTGTATCAACTTTAAAAAGTCCGAAAGATTGAAAATTTCATTAAAATGGGTCATATCTATTTTTAAATATTAATAAAAAACTGTCAAAAAACCTTTGACCCTGTACATTGAAAAAGAACCAAAATGTTTTAACGGACAAACTATCTTTATGTTTCGATAAACTATCGTCTGGTAAAATTGTGACGATATAAACTATACCAGCCTGTATAATTAATTTGTATAAGAATACATATCTAACTAGACTTTTAAAATTGGAAATAAAATTTTTAAAAATGTAAAAATCGGTGATCAGTAAAAAACAGGCCTATTAGAAAACATCCCATGTTTCAAATCTTACCAATTGAAGCGCTATTTAGCAACAGTGCAAAAAATTGAGTTCCACAAGGGTCTATCACAGGTCGACTATGTTTACGACTGCCTTAATAATAACGGTTCAATTGAAAGTATGTTCCATAATCTATTTTATGTATTATATATGAAGGTACTACCAGTTTCAGTAAAGTAACTTCCTTATTGCACACGTGGTATTGAAATATCTAATAATAAAAATTAAAAATTGGTATAAGTAGTTATTAGGAATTTAAAAGTTAGTTAACTTAATGTATTTGGCACTAAAACCGATAGTAGCCATATGGGTTGGGTGCAGTACCTTCAAATACGAAATCAGATGTCTTAAATTTGAGCTGTATTATTTTGAATTTTGTTAACTGAAATTGATTGGCTGCATAGTGAAAAAGTATGAAAAACTTATTTTGTGACAGCACTTTAACAAAATTTATTTTTTGCTCCAAACTGTGTCATGTAAGAAGAATTAATAACTCAGCCAAAATTTGAGACATATTTTATAGATCCAGGAACCATACCCAGAGAAAATGACCAAAGTTTACATCTACAGTACGGTTAAAAAAACAAATCATTATGGCTCTCATTTAAAAAATTCCTACTTTTCGTTTTCTTCATGTTTGACATCTAATCCGTTGACCATTTTTTCTATGCTCTTCAAATCGCTAGGGGATCCCGCAGTTTCAGGTTTAGGAGAAGTCGTATTTGGCCTTAAAGGAGGAGAAAGCGAGCTCCCCCTTAGTTTCCCAGAGGGAGAATTGCTTAAACTCCTCGTATGCGAACTTGGGGTGACGGTCTCGAAAGCACTGCCTAACGGCGAGGAACTAACTCCAGTTGTTGAATTTGGTAGAGTGTAAGGCGCGAATCTGTGACCACCTTTAAGGTGATTGTGAATTGGAGAAGTAGGCGACAGGTGGTGCCCGTGGTGATTGGGGTGCGTTAAATTTTGATAATGAGAAAAAAGAGCAGGGTGTTGAGCAGCTAATGCTAACTGTGCATTAAACAGTAAACTAGGGTTCATTCCTGGATTATGAGCACCCGTAAACAGGCTCAAAGGTGGTCCAAATGGAGAGTGTCCTGCTCCGGGATACATTCCCGGAGGATAGAGGTAGGGTAGTAAATGCGGTGGAGGGTGTATAGGAGGACCGACGCTTATGTTTGGCGAAGGGTATTCACCTGACGGATTCGATGGACCCGCTGAGGATTCTTTGGGTGACGATGAAGGCCGAGGTCGAAACGCAGTACTGCCTGGTGATTCTGAACAACTACTTTCAGAACCGGAGTCTTCATGGAGCCGTCTTCGTATTGAATCGTCTTCTGTACCTGTAACAATAACAAATATTGAAAATCAAATAATACGGCAACAAAGAAGGAAAAAGGTGATTTTAAAAAATGTAAGTTTCTTTAACGAGGTAGACTCTAGAAACTTTGAGGCATAGATTGATCTAAAGCAATGATTATTGTGAAGAATAAAAATATATGAAAAACAAAAATGCATTTGTTGCTATAATATATAAGGTAAAAAGTGTTAAAATACTAATGTTCTATTACTGTAGCGATTTAGAAAATTATAGGAGACAAAGGATACTATGTTTCAACAGACAAAGAGAAAATAATGGTGACTTATAACTAATTACCAACCACAGGAGTGTTGAGGAAGTTAATAAAAGAAGAGTGCCTTACTAGAAACGCGATAAAAATATGCTTGGCCTTTAGAAGAAATGTAAGTGGTCGGTAAGACTGACGAAACAACTGATGTTTATTCGAATGCTATTTAAAACTTACCTGATTGGTTTAAAGAAGCTGCGGGTGTAGATGAATGCAATGACGGCCGAGGACTGTCAGCAGTACCGACTACGTCCAATTCGGAATCGTCAGTTTTCGAGACGGTACTACTATCTGCAGACATTCGAGCTGGTAAAGGATGCGTCGTTTTATCGTCTGTATGCCTTTGCGCCAACATTGCTTGCCTGTAACAATAAAGAGAATAAAATTATAAAATTTGTTGTCTAAACCAATAAAAAATTTAAATATTTAAGTATAAACACGATAAATGAATGGTAAAATATAATTTCTATTAAGTAAACTGTTCGACAAGCAAAAAATCAATTTTTAGAATAATTATAGGAACATGTTGATCCTTTTTATATCACAGTGGTGTTCATCGGCTTTGCAGTGATAGATTCGTTGGTAGATTTTTTAGATCAAGATACAATGATGTTTAAACTCCCTGTGACAATTTAACCTCTGTCAATTGATTGCGAGACAACCTTAACAACTATCCTACGACTTGTTTCGTTCTTATCTGTGGTGGTTAGATGCAGGGGCGTTTCACAAAATTTATTGGATATTTCTATTTTTTATCGGTTCCAAATCCAATTTGAAAAAAAAAAAAAATAGTTGCATTCAGTATTTTGGTTATAAAGTAATAAAGTTGAAACAATAAAGTTGAAACATTAACCACGTTTTTATTTTGGTGATGTGGTTACTTAAATTTTGAAAATACAATATTATTTGTATGTTCTATCGCAAAAGTAAGTCTTTCTTCTTCAAACTCTTTAAACTCTACAAAAAGTGGTTTAGGATAACAACTAGAGTTGTTAGACGTCCCGCGTAATTGTCCCGCTTTTTCACTTATTGGCACGCGTCACGCCAAAGTACAAAAATGCCCTGCTTTTTACCTAAATGCCAAGTTTTTTATTAAAATGCCATACTTTGTAAATCCAAAGTTATAAATAAAGAAATTTTGAAGAGATAAGACCTTTTTTAGAAGCTCCTCAGAAAAAGGACCTGGTTTATAAAAATATAAGCGGAGTACCTTCTTTTAGATATCCACAAAAAAGTACCTGATTTTATAAAAATACTTGTTTTTTAACCTGATCCCCTGCCGTCACCCTTGTCCCGTTTTTTCCTTTCATAAATCTGTCAACGCTAATAACAATATCATAATCTCGTTTATCTAAATCCTTTTACATTACATTAAATTTAAATATATTTTAAATGAATCAACCATTCTTCAAACATATTCTTCTTTTTCTTCTTGTTCTTTTTCAATCTACATTTTCTAATCCTACCTAATGTCGGTCAATATTCGTACTGATTTATTTTCTGATAAAACCAAAAAGAGAGGAAAATAAAGATCAATAAGTTGATAGGCAACAGAAATCTAAACAATAAAGCTAAAAAAATCGTATGCAAATAGTAAAAGAACTCAAAGCTCCGTTGGAAGGCTATGTCAAAAACAAAAAAGGCAAAATAGAAACTACAATTGACTGAAAAAATTTAAGCCTACCTCTACATAATAAACACGTGCTATACGAGCAAATTCTAGAGCGTATATGAAACATATAGCATAAGGTTAATGGGTTGCATTAAATAATAATAACTAAATCAGTCAAAGATATCAAGATTAAATACAGTTCAACGTCTTTGATACATCCTGGTATTGCAGAAACTGTGGCCTGTGCTAAAACACTGCAGCCTCTTGAATCTATTATATTCTTTTGCTTTCTCCATGTTGTGTATCGCCGCCTCTTGACATGGGGTTTCTTCTTCTTCTTCTTCCATGAACGTAGTGAAATCATTGTGAAATTCCATAAAGGTGTTTCAGCAAGCAGTAATCCGTTAGTAGTCCCACAATGGTAGATATCTGGGGTCTTGCGAGCTTTACAGCCATGGGTAAATTTGGTCTCCTTAGTATGGAACTTACTGATTATGTGTCCTCTTCTGTTTTGAAAATGATTTTGGTATTTAATGGTTATCCACCTGTTCACTGCCTGTCTCTACAGACACTCTTTGACGAGTTCATCAGTTTTTTTATTTCATTAGATACTTTTCTGTCTTGATACTCATGCAGGTTACCTTATTGTGGGTTGCCAGATCATTAAGTATTCCAAGATAGTTTCAGACCATCTTGGACTTGATTCTGATTTATATAAGGGCCTTAAAGGCTGCTAGGCTATCTGAGAGAATTAAAATGGTTTGTTTTATGTACTTTCCCCTACTACTTTCTGTATTTTCGCTTACACACAACTTGACTGCATGTATTTCAGCCTGAAATACACTGGTTTATTTGCCCAATGAGACGGATGTCGCATTTGTGTTTAACTCCGTGTACTCCAAAATATGTTACCTTGCTAGTTTTAGATCAATTCTTGTACCGTACGAGATCAATAAGCAATATTTATCTGCCTTCTGGTTTACACCTTTCGAGTAAAATCAAAAAGGTTACCACTGCTAGGTCACTTACAGATGATGACAAAGCAAAGGACAACAAAAAAAATGGCCTAGTAAACGATTATAGGAGCAAAGCAAATATTTTGGAAGAGAAACAAAATATATGGACGTAAACGATCTGTCAAAATCTTCGTATAAATAAATTGACTGCTCATAAATCATCCACGATCTGTTTGCATTACTAAAAAAAAACTTTACTAAAGTAATTTTAATAAAAAAAATATTTGCCATAACTACAATCAAATTTCAAGAAAATAGAAACACGCCACTGTTCCGTAAACTTTCGTCCTAGCATCGGAGGAGCAATTGATACGTCCCTAACAGAAATTGAGCTAGGGGTCTATCCGATCCAGCGCACATTCGCAGACAACGAACGCGGCTATCATCCACATCGAAGGGTCGAACAAAGGGTGGCGATCCGGCCGAATTATAACGGGGTTTAATTGACCGACTACTGCGATAATTATAGTTGGCAACCTTTTCGAGTATCGGACAAGGAGCAGATAGGAAGAGGAAAGAGCATAGAAAACCGCGAGAACGGGCATTGAGTCATGTGATGCTGGTTGGAAACGTTCGACACTTTTAGCCCCCTTGGGTGCCCGGATTTATTACGGGTAATTAGGAAATTATTAATTAATAAAGCGATTGTGGAATTGCCGGAAGATCCAGTAAAGAAAAAATTAATTAACTTCTTATAGTGCTTACCGAACAGTTTTATTTCATTTATAGGGTTTCTTAAAGAAATAATTAATTTAGGACTAATATAATAAGTAATTTATTGTAAAAATTAAAAGGTAGATATTTAAATTAGATCTTAAAACTAGTGATCCAGTCTTAGCACTAATATCAAATCGATCCAAACTATCCAGAGCCAAGATCCACCTTTTGGATTTCCTTTACTTGTATTAAAGTGCATATGCATTAGAAGAAACAATATAAAGGATATTATTGTCATCAGCAGCTTAATAGCGAGTTCTTAACTCTTTTATGGTTTTTTGTTCTGAATAATTTCTTATGGTAACAAATCATTCCTCCCTTTGAGCTAAGTTCTATCCTATCTGACTTAGTGTGTGGTTTAAAGCCCATTTGTATTGTAGCTTTAGGCCTGTTGTACTCATCTCAGTCTCTATCACATTAGGTTAATATTCTTAATTGTATTCAGGAACATAGTACATGAACAGGAGGTTCGCTACTCTTCTCATTATCTACATAAAAAATCATTAGATATCTTAAGAGATTTAGGTGTTAGCTGCAGTGTCCCGTAAAAATCATTCTGCTATCGTTTAACAGTTGAGTTTTTTTTTTCTCTTTTACGGCCCAGTCTATAAATATTCTGGACTAACTGAGTCAAGGTCTGTGCTTATGGTCTTATTTCCTTGCCTGTTTCATTAGCACCCCTTTAATATGTTAAATATGAAATATTACATGTGGGTTCTGATCCGGGTATAGTTTTCTAAGCTCTTTTCCTGGCTAAGAAGTCTATTTTCTCACTTTTCTCGTTAACCAACAGTCCTTAATGTCCCAGACACCTATCCAACAGTGAACTGCTGGACCTGTTACCTCTCACTTCTTACAAAGATTAAATGTTGGGATGTACAGGAAGAACGTATTGGTGAAGAGAGTTTCAATATAGGGAGGGATGAACGAAGATCATTTCTACACGTACAAAGCTGAACCTAGTACTGATGTAAGTTAAAGGACTAAAGAATTACTTCGACTGGTATAGCTGTTGGTGGGATGTTGAGGAAATTTCCAAAGGGTAAATATTATAGAAATATATATAAAAACGAAGCAGGTCGCCCGCTGCACATCCATGACCAAGCTTTTAACTGAAGTTGATGTCGTTGATTAGTCGGATATCCCTTATCTGAATGACATAAAGAATGGACATTGTTCTTGTTGCTTCAAATGTGTGAACAGTAGTCGAGGTTTGGTCTTATTTGGCCCTTATACAGCCCCATAAGGTTAGATGAAAAATAGCATATCCTTGCCTAAACATATTTACATACATCTGCTTTGCAGATCATGTTGGCTTATAACTTCTGCAATTTACGGTTTGTGGCATCTTGTGTACAATTTTAAAAGTCCTTCCCTCCCAGGTCATTCTCCATAGTCTCCATCCATTTAAGCCTTTGGTGCTGAAGAGAATGAATGTTAGTTTCGGTTGAATAAGAGTAGTCTTCCAAGTTTGAGAGGAATATCCCATTCCAAACGGCATGAATATATTTGAGTATCCCAGTAAATTTTTGTTTTAGAAAAGTCGTCAAAATTAATGGAAAATAATATATCCTTGCTTAAATTTGAAAAGAACTTCTATTTTAGATTATTTTCCACAGACCTTATTAAGCCTGCGGGTAAGAAGTCTAACAGGTAATTAGTTGGCTAAACTAAGCATTCTAGAAATACATAGAGAAAAAAATTCATTAGACATGTTTCCAAGGAGGAAACTCAAGGAGTACTAATACAATCCTTGATACAAAATTTACTAACGAAGTGCAATTCTATATTGTAAATAAAGAGTATTGAATTAAGTTGAGTGAGTTGACTGTTAACTGCTACATATCTAATTTTCTACATCGATTTTCTGCAACAATTTCGCGTAATTGTAATCCAATCTGGTCCCCCCTAAAAATACACAAAATTAATCCGGTTCTCCTTTAAAACGCCAAACAGTTGGTCTACTAATATATGCATATCACTTACTGTAAATGCAAATTCGATACACCCACCGCCGCAGCCGGGGCTTTTATCACCCTTTTTGACCTTCTGCAAATGCCACCGCTAATTTGATAGTGTTAGGCCTTATTGTCGCCCTCTGTGTCTTTATTTTGGGTAGCCTTTTAATTTAAACTTTTCCCGAAGCAAGAAGTTTCGCGTCGGAAGTTTGAATATTTTATAAGTTGGCGGTTAAGTCGCGATGAAAATGCGGAAAAAGAGAAGGCGGGGATCGACTTTTTGGGGGGTAGAAAACGCTGGTTCATTCTAGAATAGATTAGAGAGTATACAGGGTCTTAAGTAAAATCTGATTTCCATAAAAATATAATATTATGTACAGATTTTAAATCATTAAATAAAAGAAGTATAGAAACGTGGTGTTTTGGTGTTGACAGGTGATTATTGAGGACAAACTCTAAGGTTGAGATTATAAACGCATCTTGAGCTCTCAGACTTGATTGGCATCAGTTTTTATCCATAACAATAATTTAATCACAAATTTTATTTATTATCATACATACATATTTGTGAAATGTTTTGCATGTTAATAGGATATCATTAAAAAATATTAGAAATAATAATTGGGCCCTAGATCGACCCGTTAAATAACATTTTATTTTTATTGTCGAATTTATTTTCAATTTTATGGATATATACAAAACGTATTTATTTTTTTTTCTGTTGACAGGGAAAAAATTAAAATGCTAAAAATTCTAGAAAGAAAATTAATAAAATAATACTGTATCTCCATTCCAGGAGGAGTACGAGAGAGTTTTGAAGTGAAAAAGGAGGTCATCTGCTAACTCTGCCGTTCAATGTGGCTTTAGAAGTGGCAATTAGAAATAGTGGGGTAAAAAGAAGTGGAACACTCTTAACAAAAGTCATCAGTGTCTTGCTTATGCGGGCGATATTCTATACTTCGTGGTAAAGAGAACTGGATGAAATAACAAGAATTCCTGTTGGACTAGGAAAAAGTGACTGAAAAATTAAATATATCTAACTTAAAAATAAACAGGGATTAATAATAGTAATAATGTGTTTTGTCTAAAAATATAAAATGTATAAATAAATGAATTAATAATACCTAACATAGTAGACTTTTACAATTTTTCTTTATATTATATTGGTTTTTATTTTTATGTTAATGTGTTATTCTTAGTTTTTAGTAGTTCAAACTTAATTTGACAAACACAATTCAATATTAGTATCAAAATCTAACTAAAATGTTACAAATTAAAATTTTCTGAATTTAAAAACCCTGATAATTCCCTTCTCGTTAAGTTTCGGTTACTATTTATAATCTTATACATTAGAAACGACATTTAACCCGTCTAAATACATTTGCAATTTAACATTAATGATTTAAGAGATTCTTAACTAGGAAAATTTGTATCATCTTTATATTATACTTTTTTGTTGAGTAATCTGAGCGTGGTATAGCTGGAATGTGCATATGTCCGACTATGTACTTATTATTTAGTATTCTCAACATGTCTCTTTTAGGTATTGGTTAAAAGCAACGCAGACATTCTATAAATGCAATTAAACGATTTTAAATACTTACTTTTTCTCCCTCTTTCCTGCACCCGTATCTCGAAATCCTTTGGCGAAGGGGTTATTGTCAATTTTCAATTGAGTTATCTGTAACAAAAGGAGAATAAAAATAGTTTACTAAGAAAATAATATTTTTGAGTTAGTAGTTAAAAAGCAGGACTTTTTTGTTAAATAATTTTTCTCTAGATATAAGTTTATTTTAAAATTTTTTGATCCAGGAGATAAACCCCAATATAACATCATAAATCAGTGACGGAGAATTTCTAAAAAAGAATGTTTAGCATAATATGTTCCAAAATAAAATATTTGGTTTTCTTCCTAAAATTTTTAAAAATACCAATTTATTTCAATTATTTTCTTAAATTTAAATTAAAGTATATAATCTCTACAGGTAGAAAATATTTTTAATTCAAGATCAATTTAAGTAGCTCTCAACTTTCTTAGAAAGGATTAAAATTTCTATAGGCAGAAAGTGTTATGCAGATTGTAACTTATTTTAAATAGTTCTGTAATAATAGGCGATAAAAAGCGATATTGGTCAGGTGCAATAAAAATGGCACAAACGTCTAATTATACTTCTGTGAAATTAAAGTGCAATTCAACCGAGCATATAAAAACTTTAGTGTTAAATGTACATGACGCTCTTGTACATGAACATTTCAATAGTACTGTTCGGAGTATAATTTCTAAGTGTTCAAATGTGACCGGAGTTGAAGAAACAACAATTCATAGACTTTTGAAGCAACAAAAAGGATGGATATATTACAGCAGCACCTAACACGTCAACTGGGGGAAATTGGAAAATTAAGAAAATAATACAAAAATATTTTTTATTTGGATAAAACATGCGTAAATTAAGGACATTGTGTAAAAAAAAGTTTGGCAAGATAAACAGGTTACAAGTGCTCGTCAGGCATTTATAGAAGGTTTACCTACGGGCCTAAAACTTCCAAATGGTAAAAGTCGCCGTTTAATTATCACTCATATTGGAGGAGATAAAGGATTTGTTGATAAAGGCTTGTTAGAATTTGTTTCAAATTCTATGAAAGACTACCATGAAGAAATGACTGCTGATGTTTTTGAGGAATATTTCAGTCAAATGATAGATTTATTACCGACGAATTCTGTAATAGACAATGCCAGTAACCATTCAATATAAAAGAACCGTTACCTAACAATAAATGGAAAAAAGCAAGAACCCTCCAATTGGCTAATAACCAAAGAAATGGTGGCAGAAGGAGCTATTGCAGTGAACTTAACCCCATTGAACAAATCTGGGGCTTATTTGAAGGGATATATCGCTAGAAACAATACAACATTTAAACTGCAAATGTTCGTTAACTATGATGTAATTCCACATCAAAAATTTCACCGGACAATTGGCAGAACGTTATAAGACATGTCATAGCAAAGGAAGAGAAATTCTGGAAACTTGCAATGTTAATAGAGTTAACAATAGAACCAATTAATATTTCTGTATGGAAATTGATAATGATGACTCCTTACCGGAAGAAAACGACTTATTTATTTAGGTATGAAACCCTATATTTATATTAATTATAATAAGTTTATATGACACTAGTACCCGAAATACAAACAAACAAACAAATTTATATGGAAACACCCCGTATTTCTAAAAACGAAATATGAGTGTTTTATGAGAAAATATTTTTTTGCTAAGATTTTTTTTAGTATATCATAAATTTGGTTGTGGATATGTATTATTAAACTTTAAGGAAATGTCCTACCCTAATATCTAGTATACTACGAGGGTGGATCAAAAAGTACCCGTGTTAGAAATGAAGAGGCAAGTTTTTCAATAAACTTATTTCTATTTTTCAATGTAATCTCCTTTTAGTGCTACACACTTTTCCCAACGTTTCTGCCATTTATTTAACCCCTTGCAATTTGACCACGACAATTCTCGATGAATGTGCTGGTGCGTTATCGTGGTTAAACAGGACTTTTTTCTTAGCCAAATGAGGTCGTGACTCCTTCAATTTTGCATCGAATCGATCCAATAATTCACTATAGTAGGTACTGCCCTGTGATCGTACTTCCTTTCTGCAAAAAGTCGATGAGGTTTATTCCCTTGTAATCCCAAAAAATCGTGGCCATGATCTTTCCGACCGATTGCTTTCTTCGGAGCAGATTCGGAGCAGATTCACCCCGAAAAATCCATTGCTTCGACTGTCGTTTGGTCGTATAATAATGTATATCCAGGTTTCATCAACGGTGACGACTCGATGCAGAAATTCGTGCGAATTTCGATTAAAGAGCTCCAAACACTGCTTCGACATTGACAGCCGTATCCGCTTGTTGTCCACCGTAAGCAATCGCGGCACCCATCGGGCCGATACCTTTGTCGTATTTAACTCATCACGCAAAATATTAATTGCCGTTCCGTATGATACGCCTACGTCCTCTGCTGCTTCTCGCACTTTCGTTCGGCGATCTGCGACAATCATGTCTTGGACCTTTTTAACGATTTTCTCGGTAACAACGTCTGCCGGGCGACCTGGTCGCTCCTCATCAAAAATAGATGTACAACCACGTTTAAATTCGTTGAACCAATATCTTACGGTTGTCATAGATGGTGAAGGGTCCCCATAGACAGCATCCAACTTTGCTTTTATTTCATCGCATGTTTATCCATCCAAAAATAATAAGCGAATTACGGATCGATATTGTTCTTTTTCCATTTTATCGATTAATGCGAAACACGTATAGTACAAGTAGCTGCCAAATAAAAACCAACCTATGAATCAGTTTGAAATTTAGTATGGAATCGTGTGACAGATGACAGTACACGACAGTAATGCCAACTTCCCTCAGCAACGCCACCTGCCTTCAAACACGGGTACTTATTGATCCACCCTCGTATTTTCATAAAAATAAATGGGGGACTTAATATTGACTATTTTTTATGTTAAATTCTTGTTCCCCGTCACTGAGGTATAGAATTAATGGTTAATCTCTTAGGGTTTTCTCATTTACATTTTATGATGTATTGTATTCGAGGTTTTTCGAGGTGGTCATACTAAAATCTAGTGAAAATTCAGATTAAAATATATCAATATTTACTTTTTTCTGCTTTGAACAATCTTGTATATAGACCTTTGTCATAAAAACTGTGATATCATGCATGTTCAAATAAACTATACGTACTTCTACAAACCATGATATGGCTTTAGAATTATTTCAGCAGGAAGTTTTTATTAGTAATTTTTGCTAAATAAGGATAATGCAATAAATATATAACTTCAAGCCAAATTATTTGATTTTGGATAAATTGATTGGAAACTGCTTAATTATTTACTCTAGTCCAGATGAGGTAAAAAAGTTGTATAAAATTAGTTTGTAACTCTAATAAATAGATATGTATTGCTTTACTACATTCTTGTTTTAGGTTCTTAATGATTATTTATCATCATCATCATCATCTTTAGGAAAAATTAGTTCTGGTTCAAGAAAGGTAGGTACATGAAATTAGTATTTTTTTAATAAAGGACTCACAATATAAACATTTTTCTGCACGCATATGACAACAAACTCTGCCATCATCAGAATCTTAAAATTTAAAGTTTTTAAAAATAAATACAAGTAGTATAATTTTGAAAATCTTAACTCTTTAAAATCTCTATATTTTTGAGCTCTTGGTGGTTAAGTCCAAAATCCAACTCTAGTACACATTCATTTGAAAATAACTATGAGCCATAAATGTTCAAAGTGGGTAACTGCGGCAACCATGTTACTAATGTTCATATTTTTTTGGAAATAATATTTTACTAAATGATGGGTTGTCAAGTTCCCAACTTGATATTAACAAAATAGAAAGTTTTAATTGGCGATTCTTTTAATTAATGAAATTTAAAAAAGCTTTACGTCGGATATAAATCACTCATTGAGTGTACAGTACAGACGAATTACATCACTGACAAGTAATAAAATTCTCATATCTTTATTAATTATGATCGTGATACGGTGACAGAAAAATGTCAACAATTAACAACAATCCCAAGATAATTGGCGATCGTTTCTCTTAAATTATAGAAGTTGCTCGATTGTTGTGGCTATAAAAGCAACAACATGGTCATTAGAAGTCGATTGTTTATAACAAATTTTTATTCTTCGGTTCGTGCGTTAGTACTAGCGGTATATGACAAAAAAAAGTTATTAATACGTTTTAAGAATATTTTTAAGATTATCAAATAAAACTGTTTTTTAAGTGTAACCAACAAAAAACGTATATTAGTAAATGTTCTTATAACTATATTACAGCAAATTGCTCTTGACAAATCTCTATTTAGTCGTTCATGTCATGAGATTTCAACCGTTTTACAATTATAAAAGTCTTCTTTAAAATCTCAATATGTTTCTTGCTTTGCTCTTATAAAACTGTTATATTATAGATTCGATATGATTGTTATTTTAAACTATTTTAAACCATTAGTACTACTCCTACGTAGTACAAAAATGTAAGAAAAGCATGTTAGAAAAATTTATTACTTTGATTTAACAACTCTCAAGGAATTATGACAACCTGTCAAACAAAAAAGAATTCTATTTTTGTTAGGATAAGAGTAATTTATTAGAATATAAAATAGAAGGCAATTTTGTACTATAGTATGAAAACTTGCTAGGAATCTGAAACGTCAATAAAGTATTCCAAAATATTTCAATAATAAAAAGACAAAATACCTCTTCGTTGTTATCCATTATTTTTACTTACAAAAAGATAGAATACAAAAAGTCCGACGCTCATAATTCAGTATAATACAAGAGACGTATCAGTAATTTTTAATGTTTTAATATTTACAACTATTTTACACTAATGATCAAAATAATATTGTTTATCGCTGACACTACGATAACTTTCCGTTATTTATTGAATTTTGTCAGGACTGGTCGTAACAGAGGGCGTGGTCTGGAAATTAAAATTGTTATTAAATCTAATTGTCGTATTTGTTGCTGTATTTATTAATATTTTTTTCAGTTGTTCTAAGTGTAATAAAGCTTGTCGTGATTACTGTTATACAATCACATCTTTATATTTAATTGATTATTAATTAACAATTGGCAAACGC